TCAATTTTTTCGAAAAATTTATACATTGGTTAAACAAAATTATCAAACATACTTCGAGCGACGTAATTAATGTACAGCATATGAAATCCCGCGTAGGGTTATCCATTTCTCGTAGATGTGGACAACAATTACCTAGGAAACGAAGAAGGGCGCAGTTGAATATATTGCGTTCTTCGTCTTCCTCCGTCTCGCGGTTATATTGAAAGAGCGATATAAAATAGAAAAATTTTATGGCTATTTAAGTAACTTTTTCATATGGGCATAAGGATGGATGAAGAATATAGTTTCCCAGGATGTTAAACAGTAAATTTTTCTGTATTCTAAGCAATGCACTCAACGAAGTACAAATAACGGAGTTGGGATGAGTAAGCAGTATTTCGAAATATTTACTCTTTTTAGAGAAAGAACAAAAATAGTCTAATATTCACCTATGGGAGAATAAAAATTCATCAAGCCTGGGGCATCCCTCCAACATGAACAGAAGAAGTACTCGCACTGGATTCATTAAATCTTTCAAAGATGATGCCATTTCAAAACAATCTATCCAGTATTTCATAGCAATAGGAGGGTCAAAATAGTCGTCACACTCTTTTTCTACATCTGGAAATAATAGCATAATCTACAAAATCTTGAAATACGGATATAGTTCACATTTCTTCCACATTCATTTCGGTTTATTGCAAGCACAAAAGCTAATCTGCAAAAGTATGGAATGTATACCATTATGATAAAAAAAACCTTGAAAGTAAAGCGTTGAGGAACAAAATGCAATCCCAAAGGGATTCAAGTTCTTTGCAGATGCTCTCAACAACGCTTTAACCTTTTCCACGCATAAGCCGTTTGCTACAAAACGCATTGCAAGGAACAAGCATAACGATCCATTTCCTTTGGCAATTAGTGAAATGCATTCAGAAAGAATGTTTTCCATAAGTTGTTCATTTGCCTGGAATAATAGCAATAGTAAAATCAGCAGCCTAAATCTATTTTTCAAAACATTCCTTTGGGTACTTCAACTACCAACATGTAGTGAAAAAACTTTAAGTCCAAATATTTTGGATAGATAAAAGAAAAAAATCATCGCAAAAATGAAGGGATGAACGAACCAAAATCAACTTGTTGATCAAATTTTTTAAGATTGTTCTTATGTCGATGAGGCTCTCGGTGCATATTGTATTTATGGATGCTAATGATGATATAGCAATAGCATAAAGGAAGCTTGCCATACAATATCCGATGTGCTTCTCAAGTGCTGTGTCGAGATATTTCATTATAAATACAGCATAACTGAGATGAGATAACAATGTGGAATTATTATCCATATTTTCACTAAGCAGCGATTTAACTATTGGCAAAGCAAGACATTCCTGCGCATCCATTATTTCTAAGGCATACTGCAAGGATAGTAACAGCTATTAATTACTCGATTACAATGAATGTTGCATAGTATTTAAAATCAATAAAAGATTAAATTATAGTCAGTGAGCATGGACTTATCCAGAACAAAAAGATTACCAATCTCAGTAACCTCTTAGTTAACCTCCCGTAAATTCGATATAAGTATGTAGTGCTACACTCTGAACAAATAAAATACCTAGGTATCCAATGGTAGGAAAAATATATTGGTTGATAATAAACTAGTTTTTACTATCCTAAAAGCTTTTTTAATATTTTCGATAGTATTAACATTACAATTGAACATGCAGAGTTAAAGAAAAAAACCAAAGAAATTTGGAAAGGATTAACAGTGTCTAAATTGTTCAAATACTGTTTTTAAGAACGCAAATCTCAACACCGCCCAGTAGAATCCTTGTTCTATACATCATCATTTTTCGAAGATGCTACTGCTATTAAATGGTAAATACCTTTTTATCAAGATCTGATAAGTTATTAACCAAATCGGTACAGTTAATAAAAAAATAAGTGGCAGATGATGATGGCAATGAAGCAGCAATTATCGTCGCAATTTCAATACCAGAGCTAAAAAATGGTAATTCAAAAATGCAAAGATAACGGATCAATATGACAAAGTTTTCGGATGCTATTGCATTGAATACTTATTATATTTAACATTACAAAATAAAATATTTTAACTTGATAACAGAGAAAAATATTCAGATTCAAATAAAATGTTTCAAATTATAGATTTTCTCACACGAAAAATACTCCCCTTTTTGCTTCTACAAGATGGACTTAATTTGTAATAAAATGAAAATCCCGATCTAATACTTGATAGCTCTATTTAGAGTCATAGAACATACTCAAACTGGAGTAAGTTGGTCGATTTAATTTTGCTGGTAATAGTTTGTGCTACTGATTTCATATCAACACTGGATGAAATCATTACTTCAACTGTTTCGTTTATAACTTCTGAAAGCATACTTAAGTAATATAAAATGAGCTAAAATGTAAAACGTATTTGTGAGCCGAAATTTATTTCAGAATAGAAATATTTTCAACATGTTAACGGAAATTTATCTTATTTAATATGCCTATGATGACCCAAATTTAGCTTTGTTTAATGGTTCAGTGAAGAAAATACGATGAGGCTATAACCTATTACATCTTACTCAAATAATCAGATTGAATCACACCTGAAGATGATTCTTCTGTTTCGAAAAATTGTTCAACAATATGATCAACGAGTTTACTCCGCAAGTGTTCAGAAATCTACAATATTTTCAGTCAATAAAATAATTTTTTTTCGCGAATATGAAGTTCACCTGCACTGATAATACAATAATTATTAGCCAGATTATTAATTTTCTATTCTAACTCCATATTTGAAAATAAAAAGACTTTAAATGATAAAAGGATATATAAAAATAATTTTAATACCTCTCGTCCTCGTTTGTTTAATAGTGCTATTAATAGCTGTTGGTCTATCTGATCCTCTTCCAAAACCTCAAATTAGCAAAATTATTAATTCACAAACTCATTTCATATTTTTACCTGCTGAACTTCTTGAATTTCTTACGATCCGAAAAACTTTCATCGTCTAGATATGGACCTTTCTTAACCTTCTTTCTTATCTTGAAAAATCTGTCCTCACCGAAAGGACATTATTTTAGAGTATTCGTTTTGCTAGTTATATGGAACTAAATACTTCACTGATATCGCAACATTCGAAACGTGAATTGTTAATTAGTTTACAAATTAATCACTCCATATATTTTAAAGACATTAAATGAGTTACTGAAACATATTTACTTGCTGCAAAACGGTTTCAAAATAAGGAAATGATGCAGCAATATCCATAAGAATGTTCCAGCGTTTTAGATCTGCTTTATGAACACAAAATCGCATAGCTCTTATAAGCAGTAGATCGTCATCAATAAAATGAGATGCGGAATATCTTTCCTTATCTAGCAATCCAAAAGCAATCAAAAATCTTATAGATGTTAGTTCGTCATTTGCCTACAACGATCAGCAATTTAATTTAAAACATTGACAAACTTCTCATAACATATATTATTCTAAATTTACATCAACAATTTAGAAATCTGAACTTCATTATTTAATTTGATCAATTCCACATCATAGTTTCTAATTTGTCTATCACTTTCTTAGATGAACATTCTCATATTATAGGGGAATTATTAATTTCGAATATTAAAGATTGTAGAATTAGTAGTTCTCCTGAACTCCGAGAAATTAAGAAGAAAAGGCTCTGCAAAAATAACCGGTTAAATAATTCTTTTCGCATTAGCCATTTACCAGTCAACAAAATCAAACTGAAAGGCTGAAAGGTTCTACAGTTAGCATCGAAAATTTCTCCAAAAAAAGAAAAAAAATTATTTCCCTATCCGAGCAGCTCTTTAGCACTGAAAGAAACGAACGTATGGACAAAAAACAATTACGAAGAGAAAGCTGTGGATGAGCTCACATTACATTTTCATTAAACCATTTTTATACAATACCTCATAAAACTCGGTGATCTGCTTCTCAAATTTCGCCGCGAATTTCATCAGTAACATTAACATAAGTAATGCAATGTCTTCAGCATCATTCCAATCAATTTTGCTCGAAATAGCTTGGCAGAGATCAACTTGAGAACTGATGTGTTCCAGTATATCATCATTACATTTTTCCATTACATTATAAACTAATTTCTGACTAGCATGCGCATTTCTAAGTAACTGCGCTGTAAAATCAGACCAAACTGGCTTCACTCCGTCACAAAATAGCTCCTCGATTATTGGTTCTGTAGATGGAAGCTGGAAATGATTTAATGCAGAACACATAAGCAACCTCACAGCTTTATTTCAAATTTTTCTTTTGAAAGAGCATTTGCGAAATGCGAAATGCATACATACTTCAATCTACAAAAAAGTACCTCATCCAAAAGACGCTTCTGAATTTTGCGATGTAGCCTATATGCAATCTGCGAATTTTGGAACCATCTATTGAAAATACGTTCTGGCAAATGCGCCATTTTCTTGACTAATGATTTGTCATTCCACTTCAAAGTGTACTTTGTCGCAATCCATATCTAAATTTTTATATTAAATAACAAATTATTATACAAGAATGAAGAACACAATAAAAAAAAAACCTTTTCAACAAATTCATCCATAACATTATTCAAATCATTGATACACCATTTCATGATCCACCAAATTCCAAATTCTATGAATTCTGCAAAAGTATTCACCCAAGCAACACTCGGAAATGACAGATTCCAAGGCATCCTAAATTGTACACTTTAGGTACCAATAGTTTGTTTGACAAAAATTATACATGGAAAAATTTTAACATAATTGAGCACTAGATGCATCTAATATAGTTCTCTCTAATGCCAAATGCAAAAAATCATTCAACCAGCACTGGACTAACAGGAAGCTAAGATGAACAAGTTATAACCAGGTCTAAAAACAATCACCCATCAAAAAAAGCATTCAGTATTTTGTCCAGGAGCTCTCGACCTTCAACCACCGACTTCTCTTCAAGCACTGCTTTTATTACAGGCACTAACATAGTTGAGATGTGATTCCAAAAGCTAAAAAAAGAGCAAAAGCCATAACAATAAAAAATAAAGTGTCTAATTACCTGGCTTTCCTATCTATACATTTATTTAATATTGCCTACTTATTTCTTTCAGTGTTTTGTGTTATTCAGAAAGAACAGCTATGTTTGCCTTTGAAATTTTACAAAAAATGGATCGTGAATACTTTATTTTATACGCGGCATTTTTTAATTTAGGTATCATAAGAAATAAAACAGTATAACAGCTTGATACAGCATGCTGTCAATAATATCATAGTAAATGATATTATCAATATTGATCTCTAACAACCTACTGATAATATCAAATTTTATGAAATCCAAATTTCTTACTTTTTCTTCCGGCTTATCAATGATATGACGCGACGTATCACAGCATTATCAATATCCAATACATGAAATAGCACGTCTGCCTTGGCCATTTCAAGAATGAGAGCAGCAGATGCGCGACCGACACTTCTGTCAGGGTCGTCCAGATGGCTTAATGCCGCATTCGGTATGGCACTTTTTAATACTGCCTCCCATCCACCAGGTAATGTTCTTACACCATTTGCTAGGATCATTGTTGCACTAACAACCTGCAGCATTCAATGTGAAGGTACATTAACATTATGCTCGAAAATCTCAAGAAATTATCTACAATCTACAGTTAATCCTCACTTATCTTTCTTAAAAACTTCAACAATATGAATAGGAATAGAGCCCTCATTAAGAGGAAGGAAAATATAATCAGTAACAAAATAATACAAAAAGTAAACAAAATGTTCACTTGTTTTAAGTATGAAGATACCTGTGCAGACGATGATATTAATCGTCTGTGTGCTGGATTACTAAAAAATTCAAGTATCCGATTACGCTGTTCGTCGCTAAGAGTCTGTGAACAAGCCCAATGAAGGTAATGCAAGCTTTGCGAAGCAAGTCTCACAAAACGCTCTTCTTCAATCTCCTCTCCCTCAAATCTGTAATAAGTGAGCTTTAAATAATCTAGTTATAAAAAAATAAAGAAATTTTGAGGTGATTTTTTTGAGAACATTTTCTGCCAGAAATGAAAAACACGAAAACAATTTCATTTCTGACTTCGCAGCTAACCTTAATCCAAAATAAAGTGCAAAATTAGTACAATAACAAACTGTACCTAGTTAACAGTGGATGTTTGCCACTAATAAATTCAATGGATATTCCACATACTTGTTCCTTGAACATTTCTATAATAACATCATATTTACCATTCGGGAAACAATCAATTAGCATGTTTTTTGATTCATTGACCACTTGGGAATAACTATCGTGCATCATTAATATCACATAGGGTAAAACCTGCAAAAATTCTTTTTCATTCAATTTAAAAGAATAATTTAAAAGCCAAAACAACTGAATTATGAAAATTCTGTGAAATGAATTATGAAAACTTTTGTGCCCTTTATATTAATCAGTTTATATATTTCCACGGATTCAAAATACTAAGACAAGATACTTGAAATATAGCATTATTTCCAAGCATTAGTGAAAATATTCCTATAGAAAACTGTACCTTTTTTAGATGTGATTCACAGTTTTTTTGCAGCTTTTTGATATAGTCTCCTAAGACACGGACCACATTAGATCTTATTGTTGCGGTCGTATCAAGAGCTAGTCTGGGAAATAAGGCAGCAAAATGTTTGAAGCTTTTTCGGATATCGTCGAACCCTATTTCATCAATCAGTCGTCTCAATTCTTTCAGTCCCTGAGAAAAGAATGGCTACGTATCGTGGAATAATAGAAAGTGATTGCACAATTAATGAAATAACTGCGAGAAAAAAATAATTGATATATAACCTGTCAAATGAATCTGATAATAAGAATGGCATAATTACTCATATAATCGTTAAGTATTGTCACAAAAATATCAAATCTATTGATAATTAGATTAATACATTGAAAAATGGTTAAGAAAGTGGTTAAACTTCGATATGTCAAAAAAATAATGTAATCGAAGGTACAGAGCATAAATATGAAATGACATATACCTTTTCACGAGTCTGTGAATCCCTCTTTATAGTTTTTCTTAAAGCAATTTGGATTTCAGCATCAAAGTGGTCTTCATCTGTGCCGCGATTCTCCAATGAAGTTGATGTAAATGGTTCACAATCACCAAATGTTACAATCTGAAGTGTATATCCGGAATTGGCCAATAACTCTGCAGCATGGGCACTGCTTGCTGCCTGTAAAAATTCACAAATTTCCAATTATGTTAATATTCGTTTAAACGAATTATTAGTTGTACGATATGCCCAAAACTGACCATATCTTCCTCCTTCCCGTATTACGAGGACTACCGTGACTGAAAAAGCAACCTACCTGAGCATTTCCTTTTCGACGTTGATGTTTACTCATTATCCTGAAATACGAAATATATTGCCGTGATGAATCAAACCTAACTATATCATCTAAAGATACCAAACTTTTCGCGTCTGCACGTTTCATCACCCATTTATGAATTATTCTTTCCAATCATATTCGTTCTATGCAACAAACCGTGAAAATGGCAGTCCGGGACGATTTTATTTGTAAAAAATTCGGTTTGCCATTGCCTTTTTTAGTGGTGTGTATGCGTGCGTGGTATATGTCACGCATGTGACTTCATGACGCACAAATGGAAACAAACTCTGAATTAAGCTAGCGTAAATATTCAAAAAATGTCTTCTTACTCTATTCGCGGTACTGTTTGGGCATTCAGGTACGGAGAAAATTGAGCTTTTGTAAGTTAATTAAGTTTGATTGAAGGTATTTTATGGATGAAAATCTTTCAGATATATTTAATTCGCTTATCACTGTAAAATTAAATAAGAGAAAAGTTTGTTTGCAAGCTATAGAAGTGATGTCTCATTACTGGATCAATGATGGCAGTCAACAGAACAATTGGTACAGTAATGAAGCAAGCGCTGGTTGGGGACAGTATAATAATAGCCAGCAACAATCATCTATCCCACAAGGTTAAAATTTCATGTCGTTTATAAATGTATTGCAGTTCAGAATTAGCAATTTATTTGACCTCAGATGACAACACTAAGCATACTTCAACTTTCTGTCGATGGTGATCATTAAATGGAGAGAAAAAAGGAAAATATAAATTGTTTTGCTAACACTTTATGTGAACAATGATTTTGCGACAAAAACGATAATATTAAAAGCACAATGTCTTCACAGAACAATACGGGTAGAGAAAGTGCATGAATCAGATGCTGCAACATTTCCATAACCACTTTCAAAAAAAAAAAGAAAACAAAAATGGCGAAAAGGAGCTTTGAAGACAGTACAGATGAAATTTACTGAACATAGCTTTTTAATTTTATTGTATCACTTTTCTGTATCGTGTTTCATTGTAATGCGACAAATGAATGAAGCCGCTTAGATAGCATGAGTAGATTGACGTATTAAGTAGCCTCGATGTTGCAAATGTGTGCAAAAGAATGTAAGATGAAAACTATTATCACTTTTTGTTTTTCATCTTTTAACATTGTTTTTTTTTGCTTTGTTGTCGTCTAATTATAACAATATAGACATTAGCAAACAGACACTACAATTTCTTATTGCTCAAAAAAAATGAACTTTTTTTTCTATTTAGATCGAATCTAGAATTTCAAATAGATGACCCAGTTATGTTTTGCATAATATATTTTGTAAAAAATTTGCTAAAATATTCTTATACAGGTTCAGTTTATTATGACAACTATCAGCAGCAACAGGCGCAAAATACAAACTTTTATAATGGCCAATATTTCATCCCCTCCCAGTTACAAGGTATTAACCTTTTTCTTTATTCTAATTTATGGTATGCTAAAGAAGATTTACTGAAAGTGCGCAGGATTATGTGTTAAATTTTTTCCGATACGTAACAGTTTTCTCACTTGCTTCCTGTTTCAGCTTTGCCTACTGATAATTTCGAGAATGAACCACCATTGTTGGAAGAGCTTGGAATCAATTTTAGTCACATCAGACAGAAAACGTTTGCTGTGTTGAATCCTGTTGGTTCTGTGGCACCCGATGTAAGCTCCATTCTATCAGATTAATTATCAGCAGTCTCAGATAGTGTGTTCTAAAATCTATCATAATTACTGTTTGATGATTTTAAAGAAAGTATGTATTGGAACTAGATGACAGACTTTGCTGAATATAATGTGGTAGGTTTGTAGACTTGCTGACAGCAAATCATTTCATCCCATGTTTTTCAGGTGATTGCTGATCAAGACTTAGCCGGTCCTTTTGTATTTTTTCTTTTATTTGGTGCTGCTTTGTTGCTTCACGGGAAGGTATAATTATTACTCTCAAAGAAATATGTTTTATTTCGAAAATTTATATGGGTTTTTATGCTGGTAATTTAAAATTAGAGGTTAAATTAAGCTTCGTGAATGTATTTGTACATTTCTTCTGAGTAATCGCTGCTATTGTAGATGAAAAGTGAACTAGTTTGAAATGTTAGAACTCATTTTACATTCAACTGTTCACTTGTCATATATTTTCCGAGGCACCGTTAATTTTTATTATTCTATTGTAGATAAAAAGTCGAATGTGGCAGAAGATTCATCTAAAAAAATAGATCAATAAAAGTCAGAAGTTTGAAATTTTCATATATTACTTGATTTAATAATTTTAGATCCAATTTGGATATATTTATGGAATCGGTACTTTGGGATGCGTTGGAATATATGCGTTGCTAAATTTAATGGCTGCGGATAATTCGATTTCGTTCACTTGTACCGCTAGCGTCCTTGGATACTGCTTACTACCAATGGCTATTTTAAGTATGATAGCTGCAATCTTCTCTTTTCAGGTATTACTTAACTTTGATATTATTTTATTGTGAATTCAAAAAAATGAATAAGAGGTTGTCAAAGTTCCCGTGATGTCTTTCATCTCATTTGAATTGCAAATAAGTGCGAATTATCTCTTAAGATAGTTTTTTATATAATTTTTTGTTTTGCAGGGTGTGTTAGGCTACTTGATAGCAAGTGCGGCTGTAATATGGTGCAGTGTTGCCTCATCTAAATTGTTTATTACGACATTATCTTTGGATGGACAACAATTGCTTGTCGCATATCCATGTGCCTTATTGTATTGTGTTTTTGCTCTTCTTGCAATCTTTTAAGGCATTTTGTTGCTTTAGAACTTTTGCATATTATTACTTGTGTTCTAATTTCATATCACAGTAATGTTATTCTCGTTCTTTTATATCATTTTGTATCATGGAATGTTTTAATTGGTGATAGCACCAATCATTAGTCGGTGAACATAAAGTAGATGGCTTTCTTTCCGATTATATTTTACGATAAGTTGTTAGCATATTATTTAAGCTCTACCTATGTCTTTGTGAATAATGTTTTTATTTCCTTTTTCAAAAAAATATAAAATACAAATAACTAGGAAACACTGCCTTTCATTTGTGTGTTTATGTATGCTTTTTACTTTGTTCAATCGCTGGATATTTTCCGCTACTATATAGCAACAACGCATCATTCTATATAGTGAAGAATAAATGTTGGTTATTTAATATTTTAATTTGCAATCAACTTCTTTCTAATTTATTTTATTGATAGCAAACAATTGTTATTGCATAAATTTAAATAAAAATTATTCGTTTTCATATCTCAATATCTTAAAATGTTGTGCTGCATTCAACTATTGAGGAAGTCAAAGTACATTTTTTCCTATCTTTTTTCTTTGTTCTGAATTGTGATGCACTCATGAGCTCTTAACAACTTGTAGTCGAGGATAAGTGATCATCCACGAAGTGTGCCAGGAAGTATGACAAAATAGTTGATATAAGTCATGAATTTCATTAATTCAACAGGTTTTACAGCTTTCTAATTACAAGATTCAATCAGAATTGATTATTCAGATTTAAAAGTCACTTGAAATATGCTTTTCGGTTTAGCGTGATATGTTTGTAAACTGAAAATTGAACAAAATATAACGTAGTGAAATGTCTGGTCATAAGAATCCGTCGTGGGCTTTGATGACCCGAAATTTTATCATCCTTTTTCTCATATTACAGATTCAGTGAGCAACACTTTTGACTTAAAAAAGTGCGTAGAAAAAATAATTGATGATTGTCGGTAGTGAATTGAATGATGCAATTGTAAATATCAACGAGAACGACGCATGGATTGTGCACCCTATTCCTGGTTATGTCATCAAATTCAAGAAAGTATATTTTATTTTAGTTATTTATTTATGAATTAGTCGAGCAAGAAGGAATGTTGATTATATTAAGTTGTTCATGTTTGCAGAATTTTGTATAATACTTGAAATTTAGTTCTCATGTTAGATTCATATACAGAATTTGATTACACTGTAACTTATTTTGGTACCGGTTTTAGTTTTCATTGGAGCATATTGTAACAAAAACATTATAACAGCTTTAGAAAGCACTGATCATCTTTTTTGAAGGTAGATTCCAATTATCGCAAACTGTTAATGAAGGAGAAATGTAAACTTTTTTTAAATATTTGTCATTGCGCACAATTACCTCCTCCAGAGGATCTCAGTGAGGTATGTTTTATTACTTTCTGATGAATTGGTAAATGATATAGGTAATTATTGATCATTCTATTTCAAGAACAGGCTTTAAGGCTTATTAGTACAGTCGCACGCTATTTTCAGTAGTTGATTTTTTTGGATAAGTGATTTCAAATGTAGGGAAATAAAGTTTTCTGAATCGACTGTCGACAAACTTAATATCGGTCTCGACTTTCATTGAATTGATAATTCTATAGTCATTCTCTTTTAGTTCACTTTTTTAAAAAATAATTACAGGATGAAGTTGCAAAATTGTTGGATTCAAGTGATTCCTTAAGGTATCGTATACCGCTGTGTGTTGGTGATGTTGAAGTGGTCTCAGACAGAAAAGGGGAAGATTCTGTAAAGGTGATGCTCATTTCATACTTGGAAGCTGGAATCATATGCATATCTTAGGTCCGTACTTCTTTCACTTGCTTGCAGTTGACCTCTTTTATATTTATACCTTCATATGATTAAGGATATTGATAATGCTAAGAATCAAGATTAATGACGTCATTTTCAATGTTCTCTGTATTTTAGATAGATGTAATCGTCAATTCAACATTTTACTTAACGCAGCTCGAAAAAAGTGAATTCTTCCGACAGTTATTGCTACTAATTGTTTCAGAAGCGATTGAAAAGAAACATGATATTAAAATCGACGTAAAGGTGTGTTCTTCAAAAATTATAAAATAATTGTTTTAAATTGCATTTATATTGATGCAATATTTTCCTTAATATACAATGGTATCTCTCAAACGTCCAAAATTTATTGCTAAGGTTGCATCTCCATAATCCAACTGTTCGCTAAAAAATTTCTTAGTTTCTAATTTTTGCTTTCGTGATATAGTGTCTTGCTTAATTCATTAAACTTTGTATATTCAGGAAGCAATTAAACTAAAAAATCGAAAATGTATGGGTGATTTGAGTGCTCAAAGAATACGAAAAAAGCCACGAGAGGCATTTATAAGGGAAGTAGAGTCAGTAAAACAATTAGAAGAGCTGACCCATGAGGTACGAAAGTTTTTCATATTTCCAGAACCCAGTATCTATACTTTGTTTTAATCAAGATAGTTGAGCATTTTACTT